TTTCCTGGGAAAGAATTTCTACCGGAAATTAACAAACAAGCAGATATGTAACACTATGTCTCTTGGCTCTATGTCATTTAACAATGTTGTTAAATAAGAAAAAAAAGAGTTGTAACATACTCTCCAATCAAAAGGCTATTCAGGCAGCATTCCAATGACAAATGGTTGAGAATTAGCAATGAACGAAATATATAAATGCTAAACATTTTGTCACAATTTGCATTTTTAAGTCATTCTTATAAAATGCAATCAATCCTCTACACAAGTTGAGAATATTATATTAAAACTATTTTGAAGCCTCACTACATCATTAAAGTCCATGTTGCCACATTCAGTCATGCTCTATCTGATGATCACATATCTTGACAATAGCCCCAAAGTGTATTTTCCATCTCAAAAGGCTCTGTTATAAGGCTGTCATGTTCAAAATACATCAATCCTCACTGCACCCTTTCCATAATCTATTTAGAGTACAAGGACAACAGTTTCCCAGTGCCAATTTCAACAGTAAGATAGCACAGAAATTAAATTTGACCAATCATGTGACCTTTTTGTACTCAAATAAAGTCTTTATAGATTTAATACTACTAATTTTTAATACAATATGTATATCTTCACAAAATTTGGTAGTCTTTCAGTTAACATTATAAGTCTTTCACATACAAAAAATCATATTTTTTTGTGAAGTATTTTAAACAAACTAAAAAAAAATTTCTCTGTGAATATAGACTATTTGTTTTGAATAGTCCATGTGTAAAGTGATTTTCATGTTAAGATTAAAAATATTTTTCATCATCTCAAAAATCTCAGATTTGATTTATGTAATCTCTAAAATGTTTGTTTTCAGTAAAACTATATTTTATCTGTTATTTCTCTACCCTAACTCTATAACAATGTTCGTAAATTTGACCACCTTGTAACCACCAAAAAAAAATCAAAATTACCCCTTTTTTCTTTCTATAATGACTTCAAATTGTAACATGAAACTAAATTTGTTTATCCTAGATAACTTTAAACTCATAACAGTATATATCTATTTATAATTAAATTTTATTGTTCTATTGTTCCTTTTATTACCCTTTGAGCTGTGTCTAACTACTATTTGCACTATTATAAGATGTAAATCACTTGGTGAACATGCAGCTCACATTACACTATCGAATTACATTACCCATTAACTACTTGCATGTGTGCCTTGTGAAACATTTTTATTATATTATTATTTATTTTATCTAATCTACCCTTAACTAACCTAAAGAGATCCCTATTTTTACACTTTAGTTACTTTTATATATATATATAATAAATAAAGAATAAACATAAAAAACAAGAAATAAAGTACTTACCCAAATCTTCATTTATCTTGCTGTTGATTTTCAATGACACTTAAT